GTCAGGTGACCCCGTTTCCCTTTGTACCTAGGAAATAACCTTTGGAGTGATGGTTTGAGACTGTCACTTCTGGTTTGTTTGGCGTCGTTGTAGGTGGTCTGGAAATTCAAAAATGGCAATGATATTAGAATAAGCAGTTGTCTAAGTTCTTAAGGCCAGGTACACCGGAGCTCGGGGAGCCTGTATCAGGTACGCCGGAACTCGGGGTGCCTGTACCTGCTGCTGGTCTCTGCATCCAGGAGCCCTTATCTGTGATCACTGGAAGTGAGGACTGTATTTGTCACAGAAATCAGAGGATTATCATTCGAAGCAGACACAAGCAAATCTCTGTGTGTTCAAGGTCAGCTTGATAGACCAGTGAGTTCCCAGTCTTCCAGGGCTTCATAGTGAGTCTCCGTCTCTCAAAATAAAAACAAAGCAAACACACTAAATAACCAACTTTGAGTGATGTGGGGGTGTGCTTATTGTACGCCACTCATGGAAGAGGCAGAGGAAGCAGCATATAATCCCATAGGTGCCCTTGTGCACAGTTAGGAGATTGACGCGTCAGCCTGTAAACCTAGGTGGTGGAAGCACAGACAATTTATTTTCTTCTTTACCCTGTTTTTGTGTAGCTCAGGCTTTCTCTAACAAACATTTGCTACTTTCAGCATAAAAAAAAGAGTACAGTAAAAGTTATTCAAACAAATTTAGCCTCGTTTTCCCTGCACTCTCTGTGGCTCTGGGCATAGTTCCCAGGACCTCTTCTCCTCCCTCCTCCCCCTCCCCACCCTGCCCTGATAAATAACAAGCAAATAAATATTTCAAAGGTCCTGCTCTCTGATGCTGCCCAATACCAGCAGCAAATTAAAGAGACACTGCCTTGTTCAGAAGCCCAATTTCACTGTGGTCCTGGCTCTCTCTGTCTATGACTGGAAGCCCAAGAGGGCCTTGTAGGAATCTGACAGACTTTAAAAGAAACAGCTGGCCACCATGGGATGTGGGGCGAGGGAGAGGGACCTTGGCCCCTCCTACTCAGGACTAGAGTGTCTCATTGGAAGGGTTATCAGTCATTTACACTTCAGTGTGGCCAAGTCTGTCCCTTTGCAGACAATGGATTGATAAGAACAGAGGCCACTACATTCCCAAGAACGACAGAATCATTCCTTTAGATTCTTGAATGTTGACTCGAAGGGAACTGACTTTTAATAGTATACACGGTAAGCAGAGACCATTTCAGGGATCTTTTCAGGCAGGGACCCTCACCACACCAGCTGAACACTGGAATCAGCTGGGCAGCATCAACAGAATAGACGGATGCCCGGCACCACCCATAGAGTTTTGGATATCAATGGCCTCCTATGTAGTCCAGGCTGGTTCAAGACTTCCCATGCAACAGAGGATCTTAAACATCAGAGCCTCTGCCTCTATTCCTCATGTGCTGACAATAGAGGGTGCACCACCCTACCCAGTGTGTTTCATACTAGGCTTGAACTCAGGGCTTCCTACACACTAGGCAAGGAGAACTCTGCCAAATTAGCTACATGCTTGACCCTCAACCAGATATTTTCTTAGCAAGTCACTCTCAAGATTCCTGCCAGGAGCCGGGCGGTGGTGGCGCACGCCTTTAATCCCAGTACTCGGGAGGCAGAGGCAGGCGGATCTCTGTGAGTTCGAGGCCAGCCTGGTCTACAGAGCTAGTTCCAGGACAGGCTCCAAAACCACAGAGAAACCCTGTCTCGAAAAACCAAAAAAAAAAAAAAAAAAAAAAGATTCCTGCCAGGATTGAGAGGAACTGATTTATGCCTTCCCATCATCTCTCTGGGGTTAAGGGTAATTAAGCTAGTCAGGAGTGATGGCACACACCTTTAATCTCAGCACTCTGGAGGCAGAGGCAGTCAGATCTCTGTGAGTTCAAGCCCAGCCTGGTCTTTAGAGTGGGTTTCAGAACAGCCAGGAGCTAGAGAGCAAGACCTTGTCTGGAAAAACAAACAAACAAACAAACAAAATAAACAAAAAGCTGATGTGTGTGTATGAGGGGGAGTGCTTATGCGTGTTGTGTGTACAGATCAGAGGATAACTTGCAGAAGTCAGTTCCCTGCATACTGGGGATTGAACTCGAGTCCTTAGGCTTGGCGGTAGGTGCCTTTTATCCACTGAGCCATCTTTACTTGCCCTTGTTAAGTGTAATTTAAAGAGTGCTACTAATAAAAACATCCAGATGCAATTAGCAGTAAGTAGTCTTTTTTATTCTGACAACTAATTTAGTGTTTAATAGATATGTCTTATACTTGTGCATAAACAGGAGCCATGGTCAGGAACCGGACTGAGGAATCCAGCAGAGATGATATTTGTTTGTTTGTTTGGTTGATTTTTCAAGACAGGGTTTCTCTGTAAAGCTGTGGCTGTCTTGGAACTCCCTCTGAAGGACAGGCTGGCCTCGAACTCACAGAGATCTGCCTGCCTCTGCCTCCTGAGCACTGGGATTAGAGGTGTGTGCCGCTACCAGAGATAGTATACCTAACTTCAAACATTTGGAGACAACATTATTATGTATTGCTTTTGATTTTCTGACACCTGGAACAAGTTGAGATTGGTCAGAAAAACAAGCAGGCAAAAAATTACAAGCAACATGGTCAATTTTTAGTCTTGAGCCTGAGGATGAAAGTCTCTGTGTGTTTGATGCCTTCTGCCTGCAAACCAAAGAGGAGTTGTTTGGGTTAACTCCAGAATGAGTTTTTTTTTTTGGGGGGGGGTATGGAAGCACGAAGAACAGGAAACAACCTCAGATGCACTGAAGTGCACATCTCAGGGAGGCTGAGCTACCAACAGGAAACACTATGTTTAGGCACAACACAGCTGTTGTGACATGGTATTTACTCATTCCATTAGCCACAGACACCAGCTCAGCTATTAGGGTGTCTGGGCCACCCTTCTCCTGCCATGTTGCACCTACTCCTATGGCTTTTTGAACCTTTGGTCATTTGTTCTAAGATTTTTTAATTCATTGAATTGACAAATATTAGCCAGGTATTGTTTAGGCCCCAAAGACAACGTATTAGGCCAAGGCCAGTGGTTCTCGACCTGTGGATCATGACAGTTTTAGAGACGATAACCCTTTCACAGGGGTCACATATCAGATATTTAAATTAGGATTCATAACAGTAGCAAAATTACTGTTATGAAGTAGCAATGAAGTAATTTGCAGCATTAGGAAAGTTGAGAATCACCGCATTACGCAATTAGGGTGTTTCTACTCTAACAGAAGAAGACACCATCAACAACGAAAGCCCCACATAGATCAGAGGGTCAGTGTGAACAGAGAGGCAAGAGGGCAGATTCAAGCCTCCCAGTTCTATTGCATAGAAGTCTACACTGCAAACGTGGCCAATGAACCTAAAACTGGAGCTTTCTGTAGGGAGTCAGACAAGCAGGTGACTCTGTATAGGAAAGGCAAGGACTCTGTACATGTCCAAGGAAAGAGCTACAGTGGCCAACATGGCTATGGGGACCAGGCAAACCTGGTTCTCTAGGAGATGCCCAAATCACCAAGACTGTGCTGAGTTGTAAGTTTATTGAGTCCACCTGTTGATGTCAAAAGAAGGACTCTGCTCAAGAAGATGGAATCGCTCTGGGCTAGAGGGGACAGAGAGACAGAGACTGTGGGCTCCAGTTCCAGACTTCAGGCTGTTATTGTTCTGAAGTTTGAGGAGAAATACAGCTATAAAAAAATGACCCATTGGAAAAGAAATACAGCGCAATTCAAACTTCCCAGAGAGGGGTATAGCATCAGAGAAGGAGAGAGGCTGTGGTGGTTTGAAAGAAAATGGTCCCCAAAGGGAGTACGGTTAAAAGGTGGTTTTGTGGGAGTAGGTGTGGCCTCGTTGGAGAAAGTGCGTCACTGTGGGGACAGGCTTTGAGGTCTTCCTTTTGCTCAGGCTCCCCTCAGTGTGACACTAAGTTGACTTCCTGCTGCCTGCAAGATGTAGGACTCTCAGCTCCTTCTTCAGCACCACATCCGCCCGGATGCCACCATGCTTCCCGCCATGTTGATAATGGACTAACCTGAAACTGTAAGCTAGTCCCAATGAAATGTTTTCCTTTATAAGAGTTGCCACCGTCATGGGGTCCTTTCACATCAATAAAGACCCTAACTAGGACACATGGTGACAGGTGGCACCGTGTTTTATTGTGCACAATGGACAAACTGAACTCAGGTGAGAGCTGGGGTGGCCAGGGAGCAAACCAAGGATGCACTAGGGAGGAGCTTTCCAAGCACTAGAAAGAGGAAATAGAAAGTTCTAGGTGGTGGAAGCTGGGGATTTGCTTGTGTTAAGAAAGAGCAAAGACATGTAGCTGGAACATACAGAGCTGGGATATGAGGACCCAGGTGAGACCAGTGTCACCTGAGTTTAGAACAGAGGGGTGATGGGAACACCTTTGCTGTTATTGTTTAACAGACGCTGTTACTAGTATAAGATTGTGCACGGTGATAGGTCTGTTAAAGAGTTTCGATTGAGCTTAGTGTGTCCTTTGACTCTCTTCCCCCACATAACGTTTATAGATCACATAACGCAAAGGAAACAGACAGAGCAACGAAGTGGGGCCATGCTACAAGCTCTCAAAGCCCACCCCAGCTACATACTTCCTCCAATGCATTTCCACATCCTACGAGTCCAATTACCTCCTCAAGCAGTGTTGCCACCTGGGACCAAGGAAGGGAGCCTATGGGAGACATTGCTCTCTCACGCCGTGACATCCACTGAAGTCTATAGTTCATAGTAGGGTTTTCACTTTGAGCTGAATAGTCCGTAGGCTATCCACTTTTGTTTCGGGAAGACCAGGGCTGCTGGTGTGATGAGGGACAAGGATGTGGACAGAACAGTACGTGTAGAGGCTGCTGTTGGCCTCTAAGTGTAATCCAGGAAATTTTAGTGGACTGCGTGAGTTGACAAGAGTTGCTAATGCATTACCGAGGCGGGGAATGAAGTAAGGGCATTAAGGATGACTACAGGAGAAAATAAAAACGACCACAGGCTTTGCTTGAGTAATTGGAAAGGTTATAAAATGGGGAACTACAGGAGAGGAAGAGCTAGGAAACAAACGGAGACCTTTTTTTTTTTCTTTTTGGATAAATTTAGTTGGAAATGCTATCCAAAGGTACATTTCAATCAAGAGTTGAATTCTGAGTGGCATTCAGGAGAAAGGCCTGGACTTATACATACATTTGGGATCATCAGTTTCTACATAGCAAAACATGGGACTGGATAAGGTCAATCCGAGCGTGGGTGTGGGTGGAGAAGAGAAAGCCCAAACCCTAGCATCCTGTTATAGTCAGAGACCGAGAATACGAAGTAGAAGCTGCACAGGAGGCTTGAAACTGTAGGAAAAACTGAGGGTGAGGTCAGAACTCAGAGGAACTTTCTTGGGAGATCGACTGGGCCCTGTGTTGCTAGCAAGTGGGGAGTGGGTCTAGAATTGGCCACATGCACCACTGGTGGCTCTGGCAAGAGGGAAAGCTGGGCCCGAGGACCAAGTAGAGCAGATTTAAGAAACAAAGAGAGGAACTCTTCAATGCATGAGCCAGAGGAGTCAATGCAGAGACAATGACTTCAAGGGGCTTTGTAATAAAGTAAGAGAACAAGGCCACCACAACACAGGGTGTTGGAAAAGGGTCGGAGACCTGGTGAGAAATCTTATGCATGATATAGTTAGTGTGTTCAGACCAGAGACCTCACACTTGCTCCCTTTCTAGCCTTGTGTGTCCCTTGTCCTTTGGTCTGGGGCTAGATTATGTATTCTAGAGCACTAACTGGATACCCTAAGGAGCATCCCAGGGCTTGAGTATAACTGCACTCCAGTTGTAGGGCCAACCTAGGATGATCTTTTCTATGAAGTAAATGATATTTCCCTTTGCAAGTCAGGATCTCACTCAACATGTAGCTCAACCTAACCCTGAAACTGTGATCCTCCTGCATCATCCTTTCAGATGACATATCGTAAGCTAACTCTTGGGAAGAATCCTCTCCATTCAAAGAACACGTGCACGCTCTGGAATTTCACAGCCTTGTCTTCACATTGGCAGAGCAACATCCACATGGGTCCCAGTGCCTGCTCCAAGGGGACTTCACGCTCTCCCCAGTCCTGGGTGTCCACAGCATGCCTCACTTTAGAGTTGGGGCCTCAGATGTTGGAGACCTAACCAAGGATAGACAGGAAACTGGAATTAGGGCACAGGTACCCAGACATAAGATCCACAATCACAATTTCACCAGGCTGCCTGAGTGGCCATAGGCTTTGGATGCTGAGCTGTCTTCAGGAGGTGTTCCGTCTTGGCTGAGTTCAGAGTGAAGTCATCCACAAGAGCCCTACCTGTGATTTCCACATGGAAGTAAGGCAGATCTCCTCAGAGGTCTGTCTAGAGAGCATCATCAGGAAACTTGGACCAGACAAGGAACCTATTTGGTTTACAAGGGGCTGAGAGAGAGAGCCATTATTACATAAGAGAACTTCAAGACCCCAGGGCTGGGTAACATTCAACCTAGCTTCTTGGGCCCAAGTTTTCACTTTCTCAGGGGCCCAGTCCCTCATCACACTCTCCACCCCAGATGCAGCACAGCCTCTAGTATTTCCTGCGTTTCCCCTCCCTCTTTTCTAAACCTCCCCCCTTCCTACCCAGACCACTGAGGATTCTGTCCCAGGAGAGAGCAGTCAAGGGAAGATAATATTGCCAAGGGAGTAGCTCAGAAGGGCAGATTTCTTTTCTTTTCTTCCTTCCTCTCTTTTTTTTTCATTTAATGTTGTTGTTTGTTTTGTTTTTGTTTTGGAGTCTGTCCAGGAGCTCACTCTTTAGACCAGGCTGGCTTCGAACTCACAGAGATCCACCTGCCTCTACTTCCTGAGTGCTGGCCTTAAAGATAGCTACCAATGCCCAGCTAGAAGAGCACATTTCTAACGAGAGTGTCAGTGGTGCTCCCCAGAGCTCTCTGAAGAAGATGGCCTTCACATTCAACTCCAAAGACTCTCAAGTCCTTGCCCTGAATACTGAGCTCTCCCTCCCAGTGACAAAGTCAACCATTCTTGGCTTTCTCCATCTTCTTCTTTCTGGCTCATCACCCATTACCCTGACTGACTCACTTGGAAAATGTGAGAAATTATTTCATAAAGAACTGCCCTGAGGGAATGGACAGGTAACAGGCTTTAAAGAAATGATATCATCTCATGCTTCATTTAGTAAGAACTATGCTCCCAATGTGGCTGTTGGTAAGCAAGACAGAGAGCAGATAATAGAAAGATGGACATGCTGTCAGCGGAGCTTTCTGGTAAAGCGCACTCTCCCTTTCTGTGGAGCCGGGCCAAGGAAAGCCACTCTGCCTCGCTTGCTCTGTGTAGTGAGGCAGGGCCTGGGACTCAGGCCAGCCTGATGGCGGCCGTAGAACTAACATGAGCTATGTGGCTTTGAGTCAGTGACCTCATGCTTCAATGTTCCACACAAGGAAAGGGGACAATGATACACATTTAACTTTTCCACCATATGTGCATGTGTGTGTGAGTGTATACACGTGTGTGAATCTTTATATGTGCCAAGTGCCAGGCATTGTGGTAGACAGGGCTGAGTGTTGTGTAGGAACTCTACAGGCTGCAGGGACAGGGCAAGAAGACGGAATGGCAGAGTGGGAGTCAGTTGACATTGGAGCTGAAAAGCCTTTCTTGTCAAAGGTTAAGGAGTGCTGTTGGCAATGGGTAGTGTGGCTCCAAAATCTTGGAAGGACGGACCTTTATCCTGTTGATAACTTTGTCTCCTTTTCAGCCTCATAGAACAGGCATCAAATGGGAATCAAAGTTGCACTGACAAGTGCAGGCCGTGGGCCAAAGGTGGGCTGAAGTATGAGGTAGACTCCAACATAATGAGCATCCCTTCCTACCTGTCCCCACACCTGATCTGGGGTTTATGAGCACAGCTTCCAGCTGTGTGAACTAAGGGTAGAAAAAAAAGCCATATAGAGGTCTGTGGACTAAGATTGGCAAGCGGGGCCTCCCTCGCTCTGTGGTTGCTTCCTGACACAGCAGCCACCACCCGCACCCTCACCACCAAAACAACAGCCCTAGCTCAAGTGGAAAGCCATTGGAAAACCTCACAGAGGAGAAACCAAGAAAAAAAAAAGGTAGAGTTTTATACGTGTATTGTTTATATTACAGCCACGGGAGTTGGATAAGGAATAGGATGGTCATGCTAAGAAATAGTAAGCCGGAGGATGAAATTCAGAAACACTCAAGCAGGAAAGGAATGAAAAAGAGGAAATAAGGTTTTCTATTAGAAATGATAAATATCTGGATAGCTGGAGTTATCAGAAGAGAAATCAAACTGGAGAAAAAGAAAAAAAACCTTATAATACAGATAAATTTTCTGAAAAAAAAAAAGTAAAAGACCAACCTCAGATAGAAAAGACTCAGATGGAGAGAGAGCAAAAATCGAGTCCATCTACCCATTTTAAATTATCAAAGACAAATATTCTAAAGCTTATGAAGTTCATTAAGGTGCCTGGTTATAAAATTAGTAAAAGTCAAAGATGCTTTTTCTGTTCATTTTTTGAGACAAGGTCTCTTTATGCAACTCTGTCTATCTTACAACTCACTATGTAGACCAGACAGGCCGTGAACTCACAGAGATCTGCCTGCATCTGCTTTGTTGGGATTAAAGGTGTGCAACACCATTCCCAGCCCAAGTGATGTTTCTTGCAGCAGCAAATAACTGGAAAACGCAATTGAAGAGATCTCCTTTACATAACATTAATGAATATACATCTGTAAGGATAAATCCAACAAAAGACACCAAAGAATGAGAATGTTACTACATGATATTTTGAAATCATAAATAGAATCAGGGAAACTGATTACCCTAAAGATAGCGAGTCTTTCCAGTCTGACCTCTACATTAAAGCAGAATCAGGCTGCAAGATGACTGGGCAGGTAAGAGTGCCTACCACCAAGCCTGTTGACCTGAATTCAAGACCCAGACCATAGAAGAAGAGAGCCAGTTCCTTAAAATTGTCCTCCGACTTCTATACTTACACTCTAAATGGGTGCATTCATGTGCGTGCACACACACACACACACACACACAGAACAAATAAAATAAATACATTAATTTAAAAAATCCTATAAGTAACAAATGCACATCCCAATTGAAAATGGGTAAAAACAGTGTCAACAGGCACCACCAAGACAATATAAAGGTACCCCATAAGCACATGAAAAGAAATTAAAGTCATTTTTCATTAGTGAAAAGCAAATTAAAGACACACTGAAAACCCATACTAATTTCAGTATGTCTAAAATTAAAACCTGATTGTGGCAAGTATTGGTGGGGAGGTGAGACAGCTTTTATTGGCTCCTGGAAGAGCTGGAAACTAGAACAAGTCCTTTGCCAGACAGTTTGGCAGTGCCCCAGAAGGTTGAACCTACCACACTATAGAAGTCACCCACGACACTGCTAAAGTCTTCGCCCAAGAGAAATGAAGTCATATGTGTACACAAAGATGCCCACAGTGGCTCTATCTGTAAGAACCCCAGCTGCCATCATCAACACAAGGTCTCTCAAGAGAGCAGATAATCAGTCACACACATCTACAGTGGAATACCACTCCGCCACGAGAAGGAAACATGACACCGATGAATCTCAAAATAATGAAGCAAAGTGAAAGAATCCAGGGGAAAAGGAAAGAGAGAAAGGAAAGATGGAAGGAAGGGAGGAAGGAAGGAAGAGAGGGAGGGAGGGAGGGAGGAAGGAAGGAAAGGAAAGGAAAGGAAAGGAAAGGAAAGGAAAGGAAAGGAAAGGAAAGGAAAGGAAAGGAAAGGAAAGGAAAGGAAAGGAAAAAGTTCATTCTAGGACAGACCATGGCTCAGTGGGTTAGGCTGAGGATCTGAGTTCAGTCCCTAGGAGGACACGCTTTGAGCACACACCACACACTCCCTGCCATGGTGCAGTATTAGTTTGACTGATGGTTGATGTGAGAGGGTACAGCCCTTTGTGGGTCATGCCTCCCCTGGGTTGGTAGTCCTAGGTGCTATAAGAAAGCATACCGAGCAAGTCACAGAGAGCAAGCCCGTAAGCAGCTCCCCTCCAGGCATGGTTTCTGCTTCAGCTCCTGCCTTTAGCTCCTGCCCTGACTTTCTTCAATGGTAGACTGTGATATTAATGTACAAGCAAAATAATAAAACATTCTTTGTTTCTCAGCTTCTAGGTCACGGTCTCTATCACAGCAATAAAAACCCTAACTAAGACAACACAGTGCGCAGGTGCAGGGGCCCTCCCTGGCCTACCTGTGGGCTCTCTGGTTTGTAGCTGAGGACTGGTTGTCTGCCCCCTGCTTTGCCATAGCAGCTGTCCACGAGAAGCCTACGACAAGCCAGCAAGCCAGGTCCCTTGCGAGCCACTGTCCTTCCCTGTACCACGTGTCCCTCGAGCACTCTGCTGGCTGTGTTTCAGCTTCCGCCTTGCCAAGACCTTTCCCCCTCTTGGCATTATGGGAGCAGCTGAACTGTGAGCTCTGAGGAGCTCACTCTGGGAAGCAGGTGCCATTATCTCTTGCCGTTGGCAGAATGGAGTGGGTGGGGGAGGGGAAGCCCTGGCCTAACCAAGGTCCAGCAGCTCTGAGCAGTAGACCGTGTGTCCTGAAGCCCAGGCCTTTCTCCAGCTAACTGTGCAAAGCTCTGTTCTCCTTTCTCTCCATGTCCTGTCCTTCCTGAGGCCGGCAGAGATACCACGAAAGGACATAGTCAAGTCTATGATGGGCAGAGGAAAAATAAGCCACACACAGGGGCCCATGCTGAAGCTGAGCAGGAAGAGAAAACAAATCAGATGTCTTCTTACACCTGCTCATTGCTCCTTTCTATAACCCCATCTCCAGAGCATGCACAAGACTTACAAGCAAAGGCTAGGTACTGTAGAGACTGTCCCCTTAGGTCTAAGGACCTTAGTGTGCCTCTTAAAGCAGGATGCTGGTGAGCACCACACAGACTATAGATCATTGTTTATATAAGGCTGGTGGTGAGCCAGGTGGCACTGGCCTTAGACATCAAGATTTTCTGTATCTAAAACTGCATGGCAATGATCTTGAGTCCAAGGAAAGGCAGCTATCATTCTGAAACGTATTAGGCCGTAATGGCTCAGGGGGAGGGGCCATGAGTGTTATCCAAATTTTCTTTGCCTCTCAAAAACAACCACTATGCTTTGTTTTGAGGCAAGTTCTCGTGCAACCTGGGTTGACCTCAAAGTCACCACACAATGGAGGATGGATTTGAACTTTGGATCCTTCTGCATCTGCTTACCAAGTGCCAGGATTACCACACGAGCTGTCCATGACTCTTGCTGACTGAATCCAGAGCTATGTGATGACTCAGAAAGCGCTCTACCAACCAAGCTACATCTCAAGCCCCTTCAAAACTCGGTGATTGAATTCATTGTCAGTAATGCTTCCCCAGGACATCACTGGCTGCAGACTGCGGCCAGCTGCTCTTCATCTTCATAAGTCAACATGTTCATACGCAAAGAAGGATGGCTTCGTGCTCAGAGTCACCCAGTCAAACACCAGCTCCACTGTGTCTGAATAATTTAACTTGGGACAAGTCCTGTAATGTCTTTGAGCCACCATTTCTTTGTTTGTACAACAGCGTAGAGAATATTCCCATCTCTTCCTTATGTCAAAGGCAGTAGTTAGCCTCCACCTGGCTGTTGAATGGACCTTTCTTGGAGGGACACAAACAAGTATCTGCTTCTCTTATGTCACCAGGGACAGATCAAACTCTGATTCCACTGTAGTCTAACATGTTAAGTCAAAGAGTTGATGGGGCTTATTTACAAGGCACGGCTGAGGGGTTGTTTATAAGAGTGTAGATGACCGCAAAGCAGTCTCAGCCCTGGAAAGTCTCACCACAGGGTGGACAGTGACTTTCCCATAGATGCATAGGTGGAATGCCCCCTTCATTGACCTTCCAAACTCTTCGTATGACAGGTCCTCCTGAGATCACAAGACCACACACAACTTGGACAGAATTATGTGTAGCTAAAGGGAAGTATAGGAAGGGGTGGCTGGGATCTCAGGGGAGGATCTAGTGATCCTCCTGCCCCATTTGTCTATGAGGAATGTCAACAGGAAACATCTTGAGGGTTTCTCACACATGGTGCTCTGTTGAGGATGGTGATGGCTACAGTGTTTGGAGAACTGTGTTCTACAACACTGAACAAATGTTATAAAGGTGTTCTGAAGAAGACAACTGTATAGGTTACCTGTTGACATTCAATAGTTATCTGATGCCCCACTCTACCCCCCACTACCGAGGGCTCATGTCGGTTGTAAATTCAACCTCGGTCCTCCTAGCACCATGGGACAAACCTTGCCTCCGAGAATCAGTAGAGGATCCTTGGCTAGATACTGGGAGATGGAGTTGTAGTTCCTGGGCACTTGGAAGGTTTTTTGTTTGTTTGTTTTTGTTTTGTTTTGTTTTGTTTGCTATTTAGGAAATGCCCTTTATCAAAGAATGGGAAACCCATAAAACAGAGTGATGCTGGAGGCAGAGCAGCAGCCTGGATGTCTTGGGCTCTGATAGCAAGACTCTGCAATGGACCTGGGCCAGCAGCTCTTCGGCAGAAAGCATAAAGGGGCTCATGCACCTAGAGCAAACCAGAATGGATGATTGGTGGGTGGGAAACTGGGGGAGCAGGGGTGGGGTGGGGGGACTGATGAACAGGGGAGCTGCTTCATAGACTTCCAGCTGCAGAAAAAGCAAAAAAGGATAGACAGAGGTGGAGCAAGAGGAGGCTGAGCTGGGACACCTTATACAGTGGAGAGGTCATGAGAGTTAGGTTTGACACCCCAGTGTAGAATTGGCTGTACAAGCAAGGTGGCCCAGAAGCAGGTAAGGAACAGGCAAGAGAAAAGATCTTGTGTACTCTTGGGGAGAGCAAGGCTTCATGTCAGCAAGGATTTCATGGCAGGTTTGCCTGAAATCTGCAGCACAGAGTAAAGGCAGTTGAGGGAGGCCAGGAGATGAAGGGCTCCACCTATTCCCTTTCCTTGGCATTCTCAGAAAGCAGGGCTATGTGGGTGATCATAGAGCACAGCAGAATGAGGGGCTTAAAGCACACAGACACATCCCATGACTGCCTGGAGCCTTGGAGGGCAGAATCGAGGTGTCAGTGGCTGAGAGTCCCTTTGGAATGTGGTTCAAACTGCATCACACCGACATCTGTTGTCTCCTGTCCATCTGGGTCCTTCTCTCTCTCTCCCTTTTCCCTTTTCCTGCGTTTCTCCTTCCCCTTCCTTCCTTTTACAGCACTGCAGACTGAATGCATAGATGCAGCATTCCACCCCAACTCTAGCGTCTCTCATCTTAAGACACTAGCCATGGGGGATTAAGGCAATGCTAGTGACCTCATTTGATTGTGCTGATTTTCAGATAAAGTCACATTCGTAGGTGCAGGGGTTAGGTAGTCATCCTGGTACACATTCCAATCAGTACGGGACATTCTAAGGCAGCTAGGGAGGCAGATGGGGCCTATATAAGAGCATCTATGTGTTTTCCATTTCTGCAACTGTGACAAGACCCCTAGGGGTAGACAACCTGAAAGAAGAAGTTTCTTTCAGCCCATGGATCACTGCTTTGATGAATTTGTGCCACGCTGAACACTGTACAGGATCAAACCTTCCACATAAAGGCTTAGGGACATTACACATTCAAACTGTAACAGGCTAGAGAGCAGGAAACAATGTCACAAATCCCAACATGTGCCTAAGATCATCCCACAGACCCATCATGGGGTCCTCTCACCCTTCCAGCCCTTTTCCCAGGCCTCTGGATACCAATGGGGTGATCCCTAAATTTAATACAAGATACAGAAAAATGGCAGACTCAACAAGAAAGCACTAGCACCCACTCCTTCCAGACACTAAAGTTTGGTTTGCAGCATGCTTGAGTGGTCCGTGCACCTCAAGGGGGAAGACAGACCTTTGCTCCAACCTACGGCCAGAAAATAAGAAGTTTCCAATTATTAAACAACTAACAACTGTCTAATCAAACAATCTAATTAAGATGACTTTGGTCCAGATACTGTCTCTCTCCTTGTTGCCTATGGATCTGAATGTAGACTCTCAGCTCCTTCTCCAGCATTCCATGTGCTTACACACCACTGTGTTTTCTGCCATGGTGATAATGGACTAAACCTCTGAAGCTGTAAGCCAGCCCCAATTAAATGCTTTCCTTGATAAGAGTTACCATGACCACGGTGTCCCTTCACAGCTGTAGAACAGTGGCTAAGACACGACCTTTTCTATGACCCCTCTGAGTCTCAGCAATTCTGTCATATGTCTCATGTCTGACTCTACCCCTCTTGAGCTCCTGGCAGGAGAGACCGAACGTCTTAGGATTTCTATTGCTGTAACAAAAACACCATGACCAAAACACAAGTTGAGAAGAAAAGGGTTTTCTGGCTTATACTTCTATATCGCTGTTCATTATTGAAGGAAGTGAGTATAGGAACTCAAACAAGGCAGGAACCTGGAGGCAGAAGCTGATGCAGAAGTTATGGAGGGGTGCTGTTTTCTGGTTTTCTCTTCGTGGTTTGTTCAACTTGCTTTCTTATAGAACCCAGGTCCACCAGCCCAGGGATGGCCCCATGCACAAAGGACTGGGCCCTTTCCATCAATTAAGAAATGCCTTATAGCTGAATATTACGGAGGCATTTTCTCAGTTGAAGTTCCCTCTGCTAGCTTGCTTCAAATTGACATTAGACCAGCCAGCAGACTGAGTCAGTGTGGGTCATCAGCCCTTGGTACAAGGCCTTGTCTAAAAGGGCGCTGGAGGCTTACTGCAGAGAAATGTCGCCATGGAGACTAGAGGACCAAATGCTACAATGCCTGGGAGGATCTTCCTTTGCAAAATAAAAGGCCTCCCATTGGCTGAAGCTTTCTCCTACTGTTACCTCATTTGTCCTTGATGGTCCCTGTGGGCTGTACTGGAAAGGTCTGTGCCCAGTGGGATGGTTGAGGAGATCACGCCAGGGAGTCTAAGTGCTATGTTCAAGGTCACCCACTAGTGAGGAGCAGAGCCAGGACTGGCACCAGAGTCCATGGACTTCTTAAAGGTCAGCTGATGGCTTCTTGGGTCAGGAAAGCACAGGACGACCGGGGAAGGAAGTGGAAGATATTATGTTCTAGATTTTTTTCTAAGCCGATGAATTATACAACTTTTAAAGAAAGTTTATTTTAAATTATTCATTATGTAAAATCTACAAAACACATAGACACTTATATTTATAACTTATATGAATAAGTTGATCACATGTAATCACGACTAAGTTGATTAATAGAAACAACAAAGCAATATGCAGTCCAGATTCTAAATCACCCCACTGACCTTTCCTGTCCAG